CCCGCCACCTTAGGTGTACGTGGCTGGCGCCTTAGCCGGTTGAGCTATAGGCGCCGAGCCCATAAAATTATTTTCATTGCTACTTCATAACTGTAATTTTGCTACTGTTATGAATTGTAATGTAAATATCTGATATGCAGGATGTATTTTCATTGTTACAAAGGAGCTGCAACCCATAGGTTGAGAACCACTGCCTTAAGGGAAAGCTGGGTAGGCCAGGGATGGTGGCTCAGGCCTATAATCCTATCACTCTGGGAGACCAAGGTGGGAGGATCCCTCAAGGTCAAGAGTTTGTGATCCGTCTCTACTAAAAACAGAAAAAATTAGCCAGGTATTGTGATGAGTGTCTGTGGTCCTAGCAATTCAGGAAGCTGAGACAGGAGGATTGCTTGAACCTAGGAATGTGAAATTCCTATGAGCTAGGCTGACTCCATGGCATTCTAGCCTGGGCAACAGAGTAAAACACTGTCTCCAAAAAAAAAAAAGAGAGAGAAGGCAGGGTAGACAACATATCATTTTATGTAACTACACATCACAGCATGTAGTTTTTAAAAGCAAATGATGACATTAAGATGTACATATATTTCTCAGTGGATCTCAGGTCATTTAACTAATGGTTAATAAGTTGTTCACTTTTAGTGATGCCTGGAACACATGTTTAGGGGGGAAAGAGCAGAGTAAGTTGGGAATCAGACCTAAGTTTGAATCCTGGAGCTACCATTGACCGGCTAGGTGACCTTGAACATGTTAACCTTGGCCATGCTTTTGTTTCTTATCTGTGAAAAGAAAGAAAAGGAAACCACTTTACAGTGTGGATATAAGGACTGGATGAAATAATGCCTGTGAAGAGTTCATTGTGGTGCTGAGCGCCCTAGAAAGCCTTGGTAGTAGTAACAGCTGACAGGTACTATCCACAGTGTGCCCAGCAGTGCTGAGAACTCTGCACAGGCTACATCATACCGTCCTCACAGCAGTGCCATGAGATAGGTACAGTTATTCCCTCTTTTACGGATGAGGAAAGTGAGCTTCAGTGACATTAAGTTACTTGCTCAAAGTCACAGGTAGCAAGTGGTGACACTAAAGTCTGCAGCCAGGCAGTGGGCTTTCAGGGGCTATGCACTCAGGCACCGTATGCCCCACAGCTTTTGCCAGGATCTGCACTGAGGGCAGTCGATGTGAGAAAAGACTTAGACTCAGTTGTCTCAGGTAAAATAACCGATGGGAGCCTGAGAGAGGTGTGTACTGTTACTAGCAGCATCAAGCAAGTGCAGCTTCAGTCCATTCCCAAAAGGTCAATCCCAAACCATACATCATGTTGACAACATAAAACATAAAATTAATTTTAGTAATTCAAAGGTGGGCGGCCCAAGCAATCATTAACAATCAAAAACAAAAGGGAGAAAATCCTGCAAATATATCACGTGACTACAACAACAAATTAGGGGGTAAACTTTAGCTTTCCTACCTCCCTTCAGTGCTACCCATCTGTACCTGGGCAGGACTCAGGTAATAGTAATCTTTTTGTTTTTTTAGAGACAGAGGCTCACTTTATCACCCTTGGTAGAGTGCCGTGGCATCACGGCTCGCAGCAAACTCCAGCTCTTGGGCTTAGGCGATTCTCTTGCCTCAGCCTCCTGAGTAGCTGGGACCATAGGCGCCCGCCACAATGCTTGGCTATTTTTGTTGCAGTTTGGCCAACGACAGTTTTGAACCCACTACCCTCGGTATATGGGACTGGCGCCCTACTCACTGAGCCACACGCACCGCCCAATAGTAATCTTTAGTTGCTAAGCATTCTGTTCTCAGCCTCAAGATATCAGTCAGACTATCTGCAGCACCTAAAGGGACAAGGTCCCAGACTCTGGTCAAATGTGACCTCCCGAATGTTAGCCCTGAGCTGCCAGGTGCACCACCAGACTATTGCCAGCCTTGAGTGCAATGT